ATAGGCTGTGTTAACCCAGCATTTGGGCTCTCTTCGCAGTGCCCCGAGAACGACCGTTCAGGTAAGCCAACGGTCTTTCCAGTTGTTTCTCTTCTCTATTTAGTATTTTCTGTTGCTCTGAAAGTATATCTTGCAAAGTCAAAGCCTCTATTTTTCTTTGCGTTTGTGTCATTGCTGTTCTGGCTTAAAAGATCAACAAAATTAAAGCATAGGTTCACAAAGAACGCTGGTCAAACATCAAAGGGCCATCTGTGCGTTCTTATCAGTGTGTAGCCAAGACAACAAAGCCCTGAGGCGCCAAATCAGAGTAATCCATGAAAGAAAAGAAGAAAAAAAAGTTCCGTTTTGAATACTCAGAGCTCCGAGTACCTCCCAGCCTCTGAAGCAGAGACACTTAGAGTTTCTTTTTGTAAATACCTGACAACAATAAGAACAGAAAACTTTCGTCTGTGAATCACGAAGAGTCAGAAAGAGAAGGTAGAAGAAGAAGCTTAATCCATCCGTTTCAAAAGGCTTGCATAGATTCGATCCATGTAAATAACATTTAAAAAGTAAGATAACCACTGTCCAATTCAATTCTTCTGCTTGATTCTTCTATTCTTTAATTTAAATTGGTTTTTGAGTTTTTATGAGCAGATTCTTTTTTAAAGCAATAAAAATTCCTCACCAGCTGGAAACACTTTCGTTTTTTGTATCTTTCTGTTTGGGCCACGCCGACTTTGTCAGCCTTGTGGCTGGAATTTTTGTCACCGGCTTGAAGATCTTCTCTTGCTTCTTTCGAGGATTTTGCGATATCCCTGAGATCAGCAAGATGTAATCTTCCTGTTCACCGTCTCTTCAGGACGGTTTAGGTCCGTTTGGACCTCCCAGTGGCAAAAGTATTGGCTGTGGTCTCTGAGCATTCAGACCACACAACCATCTTGTCGTGACATTGGCTCCTCCCCCTTCTCTGCTCTCTTTGTACCTTTACCCCATTGAGTTTTATTTTCCATTTCTACCGTTAATTCCTTGTTCATTTACATTTATTGTCTGTTCCCCTCATGTCTACTTTCAACAATATTTCTGGTTTCCTTTCTACCTCTTTGTTACCTTTTAATGTTGCTCATGCACTTTTTAACACTTCCAGCAACTCCTCTAACATCCCACCCTCCATGATCAAATTTAATACATTTTTAATATTTTTATATTTTACCACAATTAATTTAGTCCTTCTTCTTAGTTCTTCTCTTTGATATCAGATCCCAAGATAATCCAATCCATTTCCAAAATTCAAAAGTTCTATATTTTCTTCCAGTGTAAACAAAATAAAGTCAAGTAAAAGAAAGACCACACCCTTCTTCTATTCCTTTGTTTCAAATTGGTATTATGTATCCTCTCTCCAGTAGGTGGCTTATTGTTCCTTTATGTAATCAGATCACTATCTTGTCAAACCTTGTTAGTAGTCGAACCAAAAGTTCAAAGTCCATATTCCAATTTTTCTGACCCCCCCCTTTTTAGCTCTAGGTTTTTCCAATTCCAAATTTTATTAACAAGGTTCTTCTTGGTCTCAGTACTCTCTCACTGATAGCTTTCCCTCCTTTCTTTTTGTCCTCTGTATTCCGAGTGACGTTTAGCCGCTAGCTTAGCTCCAGAAAATTTTTAAGCTCCAAAATTTGTTTCTCTTACTCTTACATCATCCAATTTCCTCCAGATCAAACACTCTGCCTACTTCTCCGCACCTGCACAAATCTTGTTCCAGATGCCCCGTCTCCAGAGCAGTCATACAAAGATGGCTACCATCCCCACCGCCAATCTCCAGAGAGCTTTGAATCGGACCTGCTGGGGAGCTTGCCTCGCTTCCTGCAGGCATCCAAAACACCTCTCCTTGTACCCCGTCCCTTCAGGACAGTTCCAGTCCATAAAGGATTTCTCTACGCCGGCTTGCGGGCTGGGCTTTTGCATAGCTCGGCAGAGCTCGCTATTTCCCCAGCCGTTCTCGCCGGAGTGCTCTAGGTTTCTCCAATTGTCCCAAATTTTATTCCCAAACAAATTTTTTCCAAATTTTAAAGTCTTATCTTTTCTTCTTCTTTTCCCCTTCTATCACCTTTCTTAAGACTTGTAGAATATTCTATCAAGTAGCATTTGTAATCCAAATCCAAATTGGCCCACCAAATTCCCTTAAACATCCAAGTTGCCTACTAAAATAGAATCAAGGTCAAATGGCCTTTCAGCTGTTGTTTGCTTTCACTTCTTTTCTTTGTGTATTCTTTGTAAATCTTAAACAATTATTACTTTCATTTCGGTTCCCATGCTGCAGTAATCTTCCTCCAATAGATGACTCTCTGACTACAAATCCATTGAATAGCATGCAAAACAAACAAAACAACCTAACCACAACAAATTGTGAACCTATCAGAGGGGGTTAGAATTTAAAAAAAAACACGCAGTTTCTCCCAATAATCACTTTCCAAAATATTGTTAAATCTTTTCCAGGCTTTCTTTGTTTGTAAAGTTTCCTTTAGATATTCCTTTCAGATCTGCGTATTTAATCTTTCTCTTTTTCCATGTATCCAATTGCCACTATCTTAATGTTTGGAGATTATTTTTTAAAATTATTTAACTTGGGTTAAATCTCTAGCATAAAAGTTGGAAGTTGTCTCACCCAGTTTCAATGCTCTATCCACGAACCGCTCCAGCACAAATCTTATTGTCATAGCTGTCACAGCTTATGATTTGCCAAAATTGACTGTTGTCTCTTCTGCTGTTTGGGAGAGCTTTCTTCAGACCTAACGAGGAAATTGCAACTTCCTTGTGATTGACAAAGCGATTCTCCTTTCTTCACCACTCCTCCAGGACGGCTTTGACCCCGTTGGATCTCCTGGCATGCAGATACTAGCTGGTTTTCATGGAACTCAGTAGAGCTCCTCTATTTCCAGCTGTTCTTGCCACATCACCAACCAGATGTCCTATGAAATAGATTCCTGATTTTCCTGGCTGACTAGCTGCCAGGGAGAGTCTCTGAATCTGAGTGGTAGTTAATATTTTATTAAAGGGATTGCACCTGTTGCCTTGAAAAAGATGATGATACACTCCTATCTGAATCAAATCAACTTCCCATTTTCCAACTTTCTTTTTCTTGGGAAGGTCCAACTCAATTAGAAAAACCTGAATGAAGCAGATTATATTGACTGTTTTTAGTCAGTATGAATATCTGTGATAAGTCTGCTTTAGTTGGTCTTACAGATGGCCTACAAAAAGATCTTGGTAAAAGGAATACAGTCTTCAGCAACTTCATATTATTTTTATGGATCTATTTCAGGGATTAAATTTTGAAGACATACCTGCATTTCAGTGGTTCTCCTAGCAGACAATTTATTTTAGTAGTGATAAGAGGTAAAAAAATAAAGTGCTTGGCCACTCCTTTGCAAGGTGCCCCTGTCTTTAATCTTATTTAATATCTATATTTTGCTGCTGCAAGAGGTAATTGTTAGTTTGGAACAGAGTGTCATTAGTATGTTGTTGATGATTACTAGCTATATAGTTCATTGGAGACCAAGATAAGATATGGGGAAGTGCTACTCCAAAATTTTGAGGCTGAGAAGGTACACAATGGTTGTTTGTTAGAAGCACCATGGTAATTCTGGTATTGGTTCTGGATAAAATCATAATATCCCTGAAGGAGAAAATTTATTATCAGGAGTATTCTTACTTCAGTAACAGCTGGTGGCTATAGCTACGGGAATCTTTTCTTGACATTAGTGGGGGGACTAACTCCAATCTTTTTTGGAACGGAATGTGCTAATTATAGTTACTCATGCATTCAAGCACATTAGAATTACTATAATTCACTCTCCTTAAGGCTATTATTGAAGACCTCACTTGATAGAAAATGAAGTTGTATATTGGTGATAGCTAAAAGCCTTTTAGAGGATAACATCTATAATGGAGGCACCATATTGGTTATCAGTAGGTTTTGAGGTAATTAATGAAACTTCTCATTATTATCTAAGTAGCCTTTTATGACCTGCATCCTAAGTAACTGAAATATTATCTGCTTTAAAATATAATTAAGGTAGGTAGATTGGATTAGGAGCTTCCTATGTGTTTTTGGTTTGTATTTGAGAAACAATCTTTCTCTGTGACAGCTCTGGAAAATTTTTAATAGAGATCAGGATGACTCCTATTGATTTAATCGTTAAGACGATTCTTTTAGAAAACTAGATTATCAACCTTAGAATGGTTTATTCAGCTGTTATAGTTGCTCCACTTCTGTTATTGTTTTTATGATTTATGTTTTAATTATGTTTTTCCCAAAGAACATAATTGGGATGGTATACAACTGAAGAAATAAATGCATGAATAAATTTTTTTTTAGGACAAGCCAGAGATTTGCTTTATGAAAGGTGCCTATGAGGAAGTGATTCGATACTGTACAACTTACAACAACAAAGGGCACAGTTTACCACTTAACCAACAAGAAAGAGAGCATTATCAGCACGAGAAAGCATCTATGGGCTCTGCAGGACTTAGAGGTAATGTTTTAACTCATGTTTCTTTGTGGATTGTGAAAACAAATTACTTGCTGAACACAGTGAACTCTGAGCAAGCCTGTACAAAGTGGCAATGTAACTTTAATTTTTCTCTCCAGAATATAAAAAGAGAATGAGTTGAAGTAGGCTGTTAAAGCTTCAGTTTAATCAGGGAACTGGTTTTATAGCATTGTCTTATGTATTTATATTTAAAATTGAGAGTTGAATACTTGGAAGTCTGATTAAACACTGTATAGAATTATCTAGATTAAAGAAAATTACTAAATAAGAACAGAAATATGCATTTTTATAATATTTTTCCTCATAGATTAGGAAAAGACATTGGTTTTATTTCTTTTTACATTAACATTAATTGCTTATAAAAAACTATTTTTTGGAATTCCTTAGAGTCTCTTTGGATACCACCTGCATATTATCCTATTAACATTCTTCTTCTCATACTTGAAGAAAAATAATTATATATTTTCTGTTCCCTTAAATCAGTGGCATAGCTAGTAATATTATTTCTTTTATTTTGAAAGTTCTAGCTTTAGCTTCTGGTCCTGAGCTTGGACAGCTATCCTTCCTTGGTCTGGTTGGAATTATTGATCCTCCTAGGACTGGTGTAAAAGAAGCTGTTGCTGCGCTTATTACTTCAGGAGTAGCAATAAAAATGATCACTGGGGATTCACAGGAGACTGCAGTTGCCATTGGTATGAACAGACATTTTTTCTGTGAACTTTTATTAATAATTATTTTGCCAATATATGTTGATTTTGAGTTGATTTTGAAACTGGGGACAGGAAGTATAAAACCAAATCCATGAGCTTAAGGAAACACTATCATAGCTGTGTGTGTTTTTCCAAGCAACTCCCATCAGTGCATGACAAAACACTTTGTGGATAGCTATAGAAATACTCTATAAAATACTCTATAAAAAAATACTCTATAAAAAAAGAATACAATATGAAGTTTAGTTATTCTTAGTAAAATCCCAACAATGCTGGGTAAACACTGTATGTTTTCACATTCGGCATTAAAAAAAATCTTGTAGCTTGTGTATACTACCATCCTACATCCAATCATGTTCTGTATTTTAAGTTTTAGGCTCACTATATTGTTTACTAACCATTATGAGGGAGATAACACAATCCAGTTCTAAATGAAAACCAAGCAAATTACACTACAGTCACAGATAAGTGAGCAAACTCTTTGGATTAGTCCTGTTCTATATTTTTTAAACTGGATGAAACCAAGAATCATGTACAAACAGCCAGCAAGAAGGAAGATAGAGTGCACAGGCTGAGAAAGAAACATATAAAACGTGCCCTCCTGCAGCCTGTTTTTGGTCCGCCAGACTGTTGTAGGTAGTTGTGGGGGCCAAAAATGATCCAACACCCCCCCCCCTTGTAGCCCGTTTGCAGCCACCAGAATGCTGTAGGAGGCCATAGAGGTTGAAAAAGTTCCTCCGTGGCCCGTTTTCAGCTGCCAGACTTCTTTAGGCTGCAGTCTGGCATCCAAAAATGCCCCACAACCCATTTTTGGCTGCCAGACTACTGTAGAGGCAACTGAGGTACCACTGGGCAGTCCTTGTTATTTCCAGGCTGGCCCTGCAGGCCAGATATAAGCACCCCATGAGCCAAATCTGGCCTGCGGACCTTGAGTTTGATACCCCCTTTCTAGACAATTTATTTTTATCACAGAAATTCTCCTAAACAATGCTACTTGAAATTTCTTCCAGTTTTAAACTTCATTTCAAGTTTTAATATAGGTATTTTGAAATAACATTATTCATATTTATTATACTGACATCAACATATTTTACTTCCTTTTCAATCTTAAAACTCATTTCATTTGTCAGTTCTGTTTGATTTCCAAAGTCTTTAAATTAGTTTCAGGAAGAAGTCAAATTTATAATCTTCCCCTAACCAACTTTTAAATCACCCTTTGTTATATATTGCAAAAAATAAAGATTTTACAAAACTGAAGAAAATGTTATTTCTTTTTTAATGTATTGAAAGGAAAGTTGTCCAGTGGTTGGTAGACTTGCAGTTCTGAAAGTTTTTCAAGCTTAAAAAAGCAGTCTAAAAAGTAAAATTCCAAAGTGTTTAAAAAGATGACTCCATGAAAGGCTTAATTTCTTTCTCAGAGTATAATGGAACCCATGATTCCCAGTTGATCACGAACAGCCATAAAATTGTCATTTTTTGCATTAAAATCTAATGTATAGAATATACATGGGCAATCTCCAGATTACTCTTTATTCCAAAGAGAATTTTGGAAGCTTGCATTTTTGGCTGTAATATCCCACATTCATAGAACAGAGAAAAGTGTGGATGTTGGTTTGCCTTGTACTGGAAATTAATCCAACATATCTGAAATAGCAGATGATTTATAGGCACCTAATTCATAAGAACGATGTCCTCCTATTACACATTGCTTTTATCTTGTACCAATAAGAGTTTAAGGACCACCTGTAGATTTTTTATCTCCGATATCTCAGGAAAGTTATTAAGAAGAAACTGTGTTTTTAATATTTCTGAAGCTACAAGATACTTGCAGGCAGAAAAGGCTATAGGCCTAGTTGAGTTTTTTAAAAGACCAATCAATTGTACAAGCAGGTTTTCATAATAACTTCTTTAATAATTTAATTTTATACTTGCAAACAGAAGTATTATATTTCATTATTGCTTTTTGTCCTACTACAAGAATAAATGCATTTGCTAGCATTATTTCAAAAGACAATGTGGAACTATAAATATTTCTTAAACTCTCAAGCTTTTCTAACAATATACTGAAAGGAAATTTATTGTGTGTGTGTGTGCACGCGCATCCATGTGTATGCACGCAAACACACATAGATAATGCACCTAAGTGTTAGTATGTAGTAGAATATATATTTTCCATGTCTTTACACATATGACTAGATAACAAAATGATTACTGAGAATTTAGCAATTCCACTGAATCCAAGTCCATTGGGTCCTTTAGTTGCTTAGTAATTTTATTTTCTTTCCTTTTTCTAGCCAGTCGCTTGGGAGTGTATTCTAAAAGTTCTCAATCAATCTCGGGTGAAGAAGTGGATGCATTGGATATACAACAACTTTCACAAATAGCACCTAAGGTTAATTATAAATTGAGGGGCAGTGATCTTAGAGGATAGAGAATCAGAAACTATAAGTGAGAAAATTATTGTCTAGCTTTTTAATTAATAAATACATTAATATGTATAAGCATTATACACACACACACACACACATATACACAAATGCAACATATATATATATATATATATATATATATATATATATATA